ACTAAGCAGTGGAAAGATCCTGAACTAGCGCAGCCCTGAAGTAAGTGCGGGAAAGGCATCACCGTGTGCCCACCTGAAGCTGGCAGCTGCATGCCAAAAGAGAGAGCACGAAGAGAGCACAGAGAAAGCACGAAGCAGTGGATAGAGCCTGAACCAGCGCAGCTCTGAAGGAAGGGCGGGAGAGGCACCACAGCGGGCCTGCACGAAGCTGGCAACTGCACACTAAGGGAGAGAGCACGGAGAGAGCACGAAGCAGTGGAAAGAGCCTGAACCAACGCAGCCTGAAGGGCGGGAGAGGCACTACCGGGTGCCTGCGTGAAGCTGGCCGCTGCATGCTAAGGGAGAGAGCACGAAGAGAGCTGGCGCAGCCTGAAGTAAGGGCGGGAGAGGCACCACAGGGTGCCCGTGCGAAGCTGGCAGCTGCACGCCAGGGTAAAAAGCATGCCGTTCCGAGGAACGGCGACCAGCAGACGAGCTGCGAGCGCTGACGACGGCATTATCGCATCAACTCAACTACCAACCAGCAGTGGAGAGAGCTGGCACAGCCAAGAGGAAGAGTGTCGGCGCAGACAAGAGCGCCGTGTGTTCAATACACACACACATGCTGTCCCAGCGGCCCTGCTGGGAACCTGAGGTATTTTCAGTACGAGGAACGCTGTACCGCGTAAGCCGCCAATTCAACAAGTGGCAAAGAAGACACACACTTCTAGATTTGAAGCTTTCGTGACTGCAAGGATCCGTACTCTTTGGTTCTATTCGGTAAAGTCACGTGATTTTACCGAATAGAACAAAAGAGTAAGACACACACACACAACACGCATATCGGGACTAACAAGATTGTTCCAAAAAGTAATCTTTGTGTTTCGAAAAGGGGTGCCATTCCAAGATGGTGCGTTAAATAGTAGCTGATCATGAAAACCATTGCTGCCCATTGAGTTTCATGAATACGGTCGTTTAGAAGTATTTTAGTCATTCGTTAATTGCATAATCTTACCAATGAATTAATTGATGACTACTTTTGCTTTCGGCACGTTTCTTTATTACTGTTCGTATGAATATTGTCACATTAATTTTAAGGACTGTTTCCCATCGCAGTGTATGCTCGCTTTACTCTGAGGGATTAGCCGATTGTTTTGTGCTCAGTTAACAAACGTAACCATTGAGGGTTATTTGCATGGATCAATGCATATGACGTCTCGAGAAGTACTGTTTTGACAATTCCGAGCACTGGGAAACCATGGGACATCCCCGCTAGGGGCCCCTCGGGTAAAAACCCATGGTACCAGGTGACCCCCCACGAGACCCTACGTAGGTGCGTGCGTGCGTTTGTGTGGAGGGGTGCGAGGGGATGGCAGCGCCGGCGGAGTTGCTCCATTGCTGTGGCACCACAATTACAGCAGTGCATACTGTGGTGGTACCTGCTATGATTACAGCAGTGCATACTGTGGTGGTACCTGCTTTCACTACAGCAGTGCATTATTGTGAATGTTATTTGTAGTTGGATAAGTCGAGCCAGACGTGTGCCCATGTAACTGTAATGCATTCTTGAGAGCAAGGATGTTGACGTATCTCCATCCACAGTTCAGTGTTATATGCAGCACTGTACATTTAGGCCCGCAGTATGGTGATTACACAAAGTGACCCAATTTAACACCAACTTATTCTCTTGTTGTATAGCTATTCAGTGCTAATGTAGGTGCTTGGTACATCCAGGGCCTATTGTTGAGATTCATGTTATCTAAGACAATGTTATGATGCTGCAGTGTCCATTCATTGTATTGATATTGCAAGTATTAACAGATGCTGTATCTTGCGCTGTTTTTCCATCAGTTTTACTTAGTTTTATTCATTAAATACGTTGGAGTCAGATGTTCACCCTGGCTCTGAAGGTTTATTGAATGCGAGGTTAACTACTCGGATAGTGGTGGAACGCAGCGCACACCGAGACAATTTTATTAATTAAAAAAACTATTTTTCATTTTACTAGGTAAGGCCCAGAAGTGACCTGGCCACAAATTATAATAGCTCAACGAAGTTCCTTATCATGTAGAAATGTATAACAGCCGAATACTCGAAACACATGTTAATTATGAATGTGGAAGGAAAAACCGGAGGACCCGGAGAAAAATCCACTTGACCATGGGGATAACATGCAATTTCCAAATATACAGCAGGAGTCAGGGTTGAGATCAAACCCACAACCTCCTGGAAACCAGGCGAGGTAGTTAACATCTCCTAGCCACCGGGGTGCCCCCCCCCCTCTTCCGCTGACGAGAAGACTTGTATAGTACTTCCACTGCCCTAAGATGCAATTCTATCTGTGCCTCATGAAGGAACGGAGGCCGCTGATCGTAGTGGATGTTGCGATGGCTCTTAACGTATAAAACGCGTTTGGCAGGTGGAGGAAATGTAAAGTATGTTTTTTTTTATTTATCACACCAAACCGTGTAAACACAATACATCATAGCCAAACTTTAGCAACAAAAAAACGACTCATACACTTGACTGTCATTTGTGGGTGACATTAACTTGTCAATGCCTAATTACTCTGATTGGGCTGGGATCGAATCGCGAGTGTGCCCGCGTTTGGACTGCATCCTGTATGGGGAGCGGTGGCACAGTGGTTAGTGCGCTGTGCTACGAACCCGGGGACACGAGTTTGATTCTCGCTCACGGCCATCAATACCAGTGACGATTATCTGAACCGGTCCTGGGCCTCCCCTCGGTCGACTCACCCTCGAGTAACTGGTGCAGTGCGTAAACTTCGCCACTGGAGAGATAACGGCGGCCAGGCGTGATGCTGGCCACCCTCGTGTGCCGTGCCGGCCTTCATGGGTGCTGCTCGCTAACAGCACTTGCCCGAAGTCTGTTAAAGACTACATGGGGGATCTTAATATTTGTTTGGACTGCACCCTGGGCCTAAATGCCAAAGGTGACTCATTAACGCTCGTGGTTGATCACTTATGGCAGGGGTCGGCAAACAAAATAACAAGAGACATGATGGGGGGAAAAATGAGGTTTTACCCTTTCTGGAAATGCTCTGATAATATTTGCATTGTATTTGAACCTGATTGGCCTACACCAGAGACAGCCTTCTTTATGAGAACGCCAATAGGCGAACAGTACAAAGACAATGCAAGTATCAGAGCACGTATATCTCGGGTTGAGCAGTTATATCTATGTGATACCTTTTTGCCAATATCAAAAAAGTTTCAAAGAGAATGCATATATTATCAGAGGTTGACTGTTTGCATCTTTTGCCACAAGTATGTCTGGTTCATGCAGACTTGATGCCTTGCAATAGATATCTGTTTGGTGTTTGAACATATTAACACCTCCTGTTTCGTTGCCAGCAAGGGTAAAACCTATTCTTAATTTTTCATCATTTTTGATACTGGCAAAAAGGTCCCATAGGTATGAGAAATTTTTATTTAATTCGGTAAAAAAACCTCAAGATTTCAAGAGCCGCACAATGCAACGTGAATATAAGACGTTGGTGGTCCTTAATAAATAACGTCTCGAAGCGGTCTCTTAAAAAGCCGTCCGCGGCTCTGGAGCCGCCGGTTGCCGGGCCCTGCTCTCGCTATAGATTAAACAGGCTGTTTTGCACAAGATCCTGCACACTGTGATTGTTAATTTCGCTAGATTTATGCAATATTAAACATGTATTTTAAACATCTACTCTGAGTAGCCAGTCAGGCCTCATGCTGCGTCTTCACGGAAACCACACCACTGAAGCTGTTGCGTGACACAAGCGGACTGACGATTTACAAACCGCAGGTTGCCGAGCCCCTGACTTGGGGCAACGCTTCGCCAGTTCCCATTGTGTTAGCCGCATGATGAAGTCCCTGCCACACGGGAGCGCGCGAGAAACTCGGAATTTCGTTCACGCAATGGCTGGAGGATGCGAGCCTTGCCCGCTGTGCAGTAGCTGGATAAATGGAAGCACCCTCCCCATTCTCTGCTGCCGTGTGCACATTGTTGGCACGGGCAACTGCAGTCCCTGCGCATTGTAGAACGCGCACACCGCAAGATGAGTGGTACCTGGTACATGTTGAAACGGGCGTGCAATTATAAAAATTCCATTTGAAAAATTTAGACTTGATATTTTGCTATTCCAAGTGTAGTCTCGTTTAACAGAAATTCACACTGTATATAAACCAAATACACTATGACACAACTCTCGCTATGTAACATGTTATATTGTACTGCCACTTTATTTACAAGAGTATAGAATGGGTGGTGTAAGTTTCAAACCCCATTGATAGTTATACGTCTGAAATTACAATACAGAGCTGATATTTGCTATGTTCAGTGTGTAATATTTAAGCAGGGGTTATTTTACATCATTGGCAGACTGCGCACACGTCAACATGCATTGCGGTGTTATGCCACTGTTGGTGCATCTCAGTTGTATGTGTGGGTCACTGTTCGCGTTTCTGGAGTTAAGCGAACGTGGTCACGGTAAGAGTGGTAAATTCATAACCACCTCAACTCAAGGCCACTAAAGGAGTCGTTGTTGTGATGGTGGTGGTGACAGCAGCAGTAGTATCCCTGCATATGGGACATGGCATCTTGCGAGCAACGAAGCACAGGTTTGAGGACGCATTCTGTGCGTGCATAAACACAGAGCTACCCTTATCTGCAGGCCCTAATTATCTTCCCAACGTTACGCTCGTTGCGAGCGTTACAAACACGTCGGGGCGGTGACGCGGCCCAGCAGCGGGGTGGTCGCCAGCGGTAGCAGAGGATGGAGGTTTGAATCTGGTCAGCCACTCTCGATAACACCGCGAATAAATTAATGACAGTGTACCAAATGGCGCCTACTTCAGAGTGGGTTAGATGACATAAATATAAATGTCCTTAAAATCACCACCACCCGACAGCGAATTAGTAACATTTGTCACGTAAACAAAACGTGCCAATTAGTTACTAGTTCAGCACACCGGGTGTGTTGGAGAGTAAACCCACAACATTTACTATTCGAGTACCGTGATGTTTCACTGGTAATTACAACCAGCCTCATCAGGCGACAGCCAGAGCTTTCGCGACCAATATTATTCCTCTTTTATGGATAATATTGGTCGCGAAAGCCTACGTGTTAAAGTTCCTGTTGACGTCAATCGAAAAGAGCAGTAGGCAGTCGTGTGCCAGCGGTGCCACGGTCCAAATCTGCCACATTTAGAAAATTAGACCTCAAATATCTTAATTGGGATCACACGCAGCAGCAACATCGCCGTTAACGGTGAAACGACCGCAGACTACACGTGTTAAACTTTGTGATAGCCTTACGCTATTAGATTTGTGTGACGATACTATTATTATACACACAAGTATATTTTTATACGTGCAGGTGTTAAAATCTTTCCCTTGAAGCAAACTAGCTCAGTGCTGAATGCTTATCAGGGTGGGATGAGACGTGATATTAAGTTATATCCTGGCTTGAAAATATTAATGTAAAAAATATCATTTTTATGTAAGTACAACATAACGCTCACCAAGTTAAAAGTGTTTCCTAGGAGCCACCAGGAATGCATTTCGTAGTTAAGCAGTGACGAAAAATACATGTTTTTTATCATAAAAAATTTCTAAACAGCTCAATGAGATGAAACACGGTGTCTGATTTATATAGAGCACTCACAAAAGCTTTGTCTAATTTCTTTACATATGTTTTTTCCCTAAGTTTAAAACTAAACTTTTTATTTACCAGGTAAGGCCTACTGATCTATGTAGCTCTTTTTCAGAAGCGACCTGGCTATCACAAATGATAGTTCAATGAAGTGGCTTATCACGTGGACATTTACAGCAGCCAAATACTCATAATGTTCATTATTGTGGAGGAAAAACCAGAAGACCCAGAAAAAAATCCACGCGACCACGGCAGGAGAGACACACAAACTCCAAATATACGCAGAAGTAAAACACGGGTGTTTAGCAACAACTCCTGCGGACCTCCGGCATGACAAATTGCACGCTCGGCTCTCCACAGACGCTCGATACGCAACAATATGAATTGCAATTGACGTTAACATAGTGCCGCTGTTACTTTTCAATGTGTCACTTGCGTCGGCGTGGGCCTCTCAACATCAGTGGGTTCCCATATTTAGTGGATACAACGCTGGAGATGTACTGCCTGTGTGAGAGAGAAAACAAATTAAACACTATAAAAACCAAAGTGACAACTGTGTGGAAAGCTTTGGCAGGGAAGGAATTTTGAAGCGATTTTACTTCGCTGAGAGGGTCACTCGCAAAATTAGTTGCCGAAGTTCTGCTTCAGCAAAGGTGCACAAATATATGTGTTGTTTAAATTCGCCTGCTACTTGTGACCAAACATGGTATGAAAAAAAGAGGAATGAGAGAGAAAGAGGGAATCATGAGCAGAGACATTCACGAGAGAAGTAAATGCACACAGTGTGCGGGGGGAGCAGGAGGCGGGGGGGTGGGTGGGGGCAGAGAGGGGCAGGGAGGGTGGGGGGAAGGCAGCGGCGGGATGGCCAGAGCAGTGCCGGACGTCACCCCAGGAAGCCGGAGAAGAAGCCGGTGCTTCCGGATTCCTCCACGCCGATTCCCGACGACCGCATCTCGGCTCCCAGCCGCTCCACCTCTGACTCGTCCACCACCTCAAAGTCGTCCCCCTCGGCATCTGCCAGAGTGGACAGCGGTGCCACTGTGGTGTCCGCCGTTGCCGTGATGTCTGCCTCGTCACTGCCACCCCTGGAGGCTCCCACATTGGCTCGGCCTCCCAACCCGGCGGTACCGCCAGGGACTCCGGACGCGGCCTCACCCCCCTCTCGTCCAGGGCTCCTTTCCGGCAACGCCGCGTGGCCCGTAGATTCGGCACCACCACCCATGGCCGCAGAGTTGCCTCCGGTACCGGCTCCGGTTTCCTCTCCGGCTCTGGCTGCCACCGCAGGGTGGTCATCACCTCTCATCGCGGTCAGGATCTCCGGCACCACATCGCCGGGGGATTTGGCGCCGCTTACTTCTTCAGCGTGCCATGCGCTGATGCTTGCTTCTCCGCCGATTCCGACTCCAGCACTACTTCTTGCGGCGGCAGCAGCACAGCACATTGCTGTGATGCCGCTCCCGCTTCCTGCGATTTCCCAGCTGGGTTCCTTTACATCGGGAGACTGGGCCTGCGTACCCCGGGGCTCCGCGAACCGCAGGATCTCCTTGGCCATGGCCTCGCCCAGCTCCTGGATGGCCACAGGTGGCCGCCGCGGCGGAGGAGGGGCGGCGCTGGCGGCGGTGCCGCCAGAGCCATGCTCGTTGAAGTGGGCGTCGTCGAAGCGGAGGGCGGGTGCGGGCGGCAGTTCCCCGTGGCGCCCTGCAGCCAACGCCTTGGCTGTGCTGGCAGCACGACCACCAGGAGTCCCAGGAGCACCATGACCACCGTGAGCGCTGTGAGCACCGTGAGCACCATAGCCGCTCTGCTGCCCCTTTGCCCGGCAGTGGGGCGAGTCCTCCGAGTTGTTCTGTAGATCGAAATCTTCACAGGGAGCAATTCAAGCAAGAGCATTGGTGCAGCATCAATAACAATTGCACGCCTGTTGTTATTATAATTACCATTGTTGCCATGACGTTAGTTTAGACAGGAAAGGCTCGCACCGAGTCTCAAGCCTCTTTTTTTCAGGAGGATCCCTGTCAAGTTTTCATAGCAACGGGGGGGCCGATGTCGGGTGTTAAAAAATGAAATGTTATGTTGCACAATGATACCCCAGTTTACGTCTCCTCCACCTTTGACGTAATTTTGTAAACACGTCGCTTTAACGTTAACATTGTTATCCGATTAGCAACGGCTCAACCACCCCACACACTTAACGTCGCTGACAGCATCGTCGTCATCCGCCCTTTGTTGGTATCCATCACCTCTCAGCTTTCGCCTCCACCACCACCACTACCCCTGTTAAAACACTTTCGATTTACGTCGTTTCGATATTGGTTGTCGCACCTTCCAGGAACGCATCCCCCCCAAAGTTGTAAACCGGGGGTAATGCTGAACTCTTTAAAATGAGTGACGGGAAGAATCCAATGAACACGGAGAAATCCCATGCGCAACAGGGGGAGGGACACACAAAACTTGATGCAGAAAGGCACCCGAGTGGGTAATCGAACCCAGGACCTTCTTCCTGCAAGGCACAAGAGTGACCACTGAGCTGCCACCTTGCTGCCCAGATGATGTAACAGCATATTCCTCCAGTCGAAACAATTTTTTTTTAAACTGAGTAAGGCCCATTGAGCTATATACTGTCACTCTTTTACAGAAGCGATCTGACCACAAATGATAGCGCAACGAAGTGTCTTATCATCACGTGGAAATTTATAGCAGTCACACTCAATGCGTGACGCTGATTGTAAATGTGGAGGGGAAAAAACTGGAGGACCCGGAGAAGAAACCATGCGACCATGGGCATCAGGGTTGGGATCGTAACCAACAACCTTCTGTATACCAGGCAAGGTGGTTAACATCTCCTAGCTACCCGCGGCGCCCCGTAAGTAAACACTGTGAGAGTGATCCGCAGAAGGACTCTGAGCCAGGCTGAAGAGCGGGAGCCGACCTTCTTGGGAGTGATCGGCGGGCGGTGGAGGGGTGCTGCCCCGAGACAGCGTGAAGCCCTCGCTCTCCAGGATGGAGGCCTCCTCATCGGAGAGCTCCGAGTCTGTGATGGAGAGCGCCAGTGCCGTGCGCTTCACGTCCACCTGGACCACGCACACGCACAGTGAGGGGGGGGGGGGGGTACACACGGTTGGAAGTCTTCCACTCAACGGAAGGGGGGGGGGGCATCCCGGTGGCGAGGAGATGTAAACTACCTAGCCTGGTATACAGGACATGGGTTCAATCCTGACCCTGATACCTGTTGTATGTTTCGAGTTTGCATGTTCGCTCTATCTTTTCCCGTGATCACGTGTAATTTTCTCCGGGTACTCCGGTTTTTCCCTCCACGTTTAGAATCAACACGTGTTTAAAATACTTGGCTGCGACTATACAATCCCATGTGGTAAGTCACTTGGTTAAGCTATCGTTTGTGGTCAAGTCGCTTCTGAAAAAAAGCTAATAGCTCAGTGGGCTTTACATGGTAAATAAAATAGTTTAGCTTAGTATAGATGTCTATCGCAGCACCTTATTCTAAGGCACTTGGTTGAAATCATGAGTGGGGTTATTAAAAGTGGTGGTGTTGTAATGGTGACAGTTAAGGAGGGGTTTGTGTAGTGATAGAGATAGTCATAGGGGATGGGGAAGTGATTGGGGTAGTGATAGGGGTTAGGGTAGGCCTGGTCGTAGCTTGAGGGCTGGGGGCAAGCAGTAGCAGCAGGCTGGGAGAGGGCAGAAGAGATGGGGGGTTGCTTTATTGGAGGAACAGATGCAGGTTAGTGAAGATGATTATTTTATGTGCATGAAATGAAGCCCATTTATTTATTTCACGTAGCAGATTTTCATATTTTTATATAGCAGTCTTAGTCTCATCACCGATAACTACAGAACGATTGGGTTTGCACTGCTGTCTAGCCGAGCTCTGAAGGCTCCACTCTCAAGAGCGATGCCAGCGAGGCGCGAACTTGACTCCGGGACAGCAGCAGCAGAAGGAGAGTGCAGGGTAGAACCCAGAACGACGTCGGACCGTTTGAGAAGCCACTTCATGTGCAGCTTTGCTCTTTTGAGGGCGTTCTCAAATCTAATAGAGCAGTGTGATATTAACCCCTTTCCCGTTCCGAGGCCCACTGCAAGTTGCAGGGTGGGTTGTTCCACTCACGGCTGAATTTGAAATGCGCAAGCAGTTAGTATTCATTTTATTTAGAGAGGCGTCGCAGCAGCACCGTTTTTAAGGAAGTTGATACACACAGCAGTGAACCGTAGGGACACGGCCGTACTCTAGATAGCTGACACAAAAACTGTGCCACAAGCCATCCCATCGGGCCTTTGACTTCCGATTCTGGAATTGGAAGAAAAACTGATGACGGACGTGTACGCCATTGGAATGGGAAAGGGTTAATGACATCCTCCTCTCCACAGACTCTGGTCACCTCAGCATCCTCATCCTCCTGGACCTCACTTCAGCTTTTGACACTATCAATCACACCATCTTCTCTCTCGCCTCAAATCTACCCTCAACATCACTGGCACCGCCCTCTCCTGGCTCCTATCTTATCTCACCGACAGACAACAGTTCATCCACATCAACAAGGGCTCGGTGCTTGGTCCTTTGCTTTCATACTATACCTGCTTCCCCTTGGCAACGTCATTCGCCACCATGGTCTTAAATTTCACTGCTATTCCGATGATGTCCAGCTCTACATCTCCACCAAATCCATCACCTCTGCCACCCACTCCACTCTCTCTAACTGCCTCGCTGACATTAAATCGTGGATGCACACCAATTTCCTTAAACTTAACTGCGACAAAACAGATATGATCATCATCGGTCCCAAATCTATCACTAAATCCATTCGCAGTTTCTCCGTCACTGTCGACACCTATACCCTGTCTCCATCCCTTCAAAGTCGCAACCTTGGAGTCATTTTTGACAATAACCTCTCCTTTGAACACCACGTAAAACAAATCACCAGAACTGCCTTTTTTCACCTCAAAAACATCTCCAGACTTCGCCCATCACTCTTTCTCCGCTGCAGAAACCCTCATCCATGCCTTCATCACCTCCAGAATCGATTACTGCAACAGCATCCTATACAGCACCTCAACCAAAACATTAAATAAACTCCAGTACATCCAGAACTCTGCTGCTCGTCTGCTCACTCACACCCGCACCGGTGACCACATTACCCGTCCTCCAGAACCTCCATTGGCTCCCGGTCCCATAACGAATTCAATTCAAAATCCTCCTCCTCACACATAAAGCCCTTCATAACCAGGCCCCTTCCTACCTCACTGACCTGCTCCACCGCCACAACTCATCCCGTAGCCTTCGCTCACCTGACGCCAACCTCCTGACTCCACCTCTCAGGACCAAGCATCTAACCTGGGGCGACAGAGCCTTCTCTATAGCTGCCCCCTCACTTTGGAACTCTATCCCAAAACAAATCCGTGACTGCATCGACCTTCCAGCGTTCAAATCATTGGCTAAAACTCACCTTTTTAATATTGCTTTTAATGTTTAGCAAAGTTTGATGTGTTTTTAGTGTTTTTACCATTTGATTTGCATTTTTTTTGCTGCTTTTATGATTTTATGTAAAGTGTCTTTAAGTATTCAGAAAAGCGCTCACAAATAAAATGTATTATTAAGTTCTATGAATGGGATGATTCCACCAAAGTTGGAGCCAGATAAGAGGCAAACCTGGCTGCAATTTTTCTCATCGAGGAGCATAAACCTCCACGGCAATTCCGGTCATCCTCGCTTAGCAGCAACTTCTGGCGAGCCATCGAACAGAGACGCTACCACATTGCGCACTTTCAGATGCGCTTCTGTGGCCATCTGGAATGCCCTTCCTTCCACTCAAGCTGTGCATTTTTAAATCATCATCTAGATTGACAACTCATTTTTTAGAACTGCTTTTTGTGTTTAGTTTGTTGACCTTCCCCCACACCTCCGATTAGCATGGTTGGCTACGTACGGTGACAAAGAAATTCAACATACAGACACACATACACCGCACCTCTGATTAGAACGGTTGGCTATGTACAGTGCCAAAGTAGTTCAACATACCAATACAACCGCCATTCGCCACTAAGTGACGGTGACATCAACACAGCACCCGTGCCAGGCCACGTGCCCTTTGAGGCCACGTGAAGTGTCGAAGGCTCACTGACAGAAAGTCTCGGGACAGACCCAGGTGCCATGGGTTGGCTGACCGAGATGACTGGTAGATGCACCAGCTGTACCCCTACTGTGGCAACTTGCTGTATTTTAGCCACCCGGTGCTCAGCTCGTTGTTGTGAGCATCACTCTTCTGCCCTCTGTTGTTGCTGGAGGACGACTGCCTCCAGCTGCCCAGTAACGTCCTTCACGAGCCTCCTCCATACAGGCTGATCTTGACATCTATGGTACCAGTCGTCGGCAAGTCCACTCGGCTCCACATCCTCCCGTACCGCATCACTCCATCTCTTTTCCAGCCCATGTCATGCCCGTTTAGACCCCTCTATCCTGCTAAACGGAAGCTATTTGGGCATGCAGCGGCTGGGCATGCGGGCTACATAACCCAGCCAACTCAGCCTTGCCTGCCCGGAGGAGCTCACTGATGGGAACGTGTCTAGATCTTTCAACGATTGTGTGAGCACAACATACAGACACACATATATACATCAGTGCTGGCAGTGTAGCTGCTGTCAGAGATGGGTACCTTTGTGCAGTAATTAGACAGCTCTCCCTCGCTGTCACTGTCTGTCTCGGCTGTGGGCTCATTCCCTTCGGTCTTTTCCTTCCGCACACCTGCAGACATTGCAAGCCAAAACGTACAGGAGCCCCGTGTCATTTACTATTTTTATATAATTGTGATTATTATTATGATTGCACTTGTTTCCCCAAAAAAGCATCACTGAGTATCTCTTGCTCAGGAAGGTCCTTGTCAATAGGGAGCCGATTTCGCTACTCTGTGAGTAATTTACAATTTTTCAACATTTTTATGTTTGGCCAACATCAGTGATATTGTGTTTTTTTAGCTATAGGATAAAACCGGGGAACCCAGATGAAAATCATGCAGAGCAGGGTGAGAACATATAAAATCCAAGCAAAGACAAAGATCCTACATATAGCCTGTAACAGACTGTTGGGACAAGTGCTGTTATCGAGCACCGATGAAGACCGGCACGGCACATGAACAACTCCTGTTCACAAGCCACCTGTTTGTTTAAACATCGCACCAGTTAGTCATTTAAGACTGAGTCGACTTAAGGGAGGTCCAGGCCTGGTTCAGATATTCGTCACTGATGTTGACCATGAGCGGGAATCACACTCACCAGGTTCATAGCACTTTGCACTTCTCACTACACCATCACTCCCCATAAAACTGCACATAAAACAGCTGCCAATTGCCATTAAGTGGCAGTGATGTGATTGCAGAGCTTGTGCCAGGCTTGGTGTACTTTGAGGCCACGTGAAGTGTCGAAGGTTTGCTGACAGGAGGTCCATGGGACAGACCCAGGTGCCATGGATTGATTGACTGAAATGAGTGGCAGATGCACCACTTCTGCTTCCCAGTGCCAACTTTCTCTGTTTTAGCCACCCGGCGCTCCTCTCATTGTTGCGAGTGTTGCTCCTCTACCCTCTGCTGTTGTTGGAGGGTGACTGCCTCCAACTGCCCAGGAGCATCCTTCACAAGCCTCCTCCATAGAGGCCGATCTTGACACTTAGTATCAGTCATCGGCAAGTCCATGCAGTTCTGCATCTTCCTGTATCACATCAGTCCATCTCTTCTCTGACCTGTGCCGCGCCCATTTAGCCCCCTCTATCCAGCCAAACAAAATCTGTTTCGGCATGCGCAGTACATGACTCAGTTAATGCAGCCTCGCCTGCTGGAGGAGGTTTATGATGGGGAACTGTCTCCAGAATCTGTGAGCTCATTACACAATCCAGTCTGGTTAAACCAGAATGGGTCATACCAGGCCAGCCTGAATGTTTCAAACTGGCGCTTTCACAAGCATCGAGAAGTGAGGGCATAACTGTGGTCGAGAAGACCTGGAGCTTTGTATGGAGCGACATGCCAAGTAGCTTCTACACAGCGTTATGCAGTTGATGAAACGATAATGCCGCTCGACTGATTCGGAGTGAGACCTAGTCATAAATACACTGCCCAGGTATGGGAACTCCTCCACTCTCTTCACAATTGCCCCATCTTTCGATTTAAAGCTTTCGTGACTGCAAGGATTCATCTTCTTTGGTTCTTTCGGTAAAGTCATGTAGAATGAGAATAAAATAATCAAAGAAAATAAGACAATAAAATTCTCACGACGTTTTGGCCACAACACAAGTAGCCTTCTTCAGGTGAAAGAACAGAACTGTCGGGACGACAGAGCTTGAATGAACGCTGTTAAGATTCGTAGCGTCTTTTAAGCTCGGTGAGAGGCGTGAAGAGCCTTGACAAAGGATGTATCTATCAAAGCAGGAGAATTTAGCATTGAAATAGCTGAGGGATTAGCTTGTGACAAAAATAGTTGTGTTAAAGTCAAAGTTTACATATCAACAGAGGCATTTAGTATATGGGCGCTAAAGGCCTCCAACTACCAACTATCATAAAGTAAACCGATGTGAAAAAACTAAATCTATATTACATCAATATAATAAATGTACTTAATATATTCTTCAATAAGCTGAGCTATTAATCACAAAGCAACTGGGTATACACTACACTATATAATGAATAGCATATAGTAAACCAATAAAAAAACTAAATATAAGCTCCCTCAATGTTATCAATAAACTCTATATACTCTCCAATCAGCTGAGCCACCAACAATAAGTCGTTATATATCAATGCCATATGGCGAAAAATGGTGTTTTTTTCCCTTCCCCTCAACGCCTAATCAGAACAATTAATTCTTATGCAGTGTAATACGAGCACATGGAAAATATGAATAAAGTCCTTAATATTATGCGACGGTATTCATACGAAAAAGCAATCGAAAAATTATTATTCCTAAAGGCACAAATATATCAATAGATCCATCGGCAAGATTATATGATTACAGAAAAGGCTTGGTGTGAGGGTGTGCGATGGGGTGCGCGCTTTCCCCTGAGATCCTTATCTTGGGCCAACTTTTAATTAATTGTGGACCAAGTTGCCTGATAAGGACACCTGGTTGGACATGCTATTCCCCCCCCCCCCCCCCCCCCCCCCCCGTGAGCGTAGCTCCGTGGTGAAGGTGTCAAGGATTCATTCATATTGATGGATCTGTTGGTAATTTATGCGATTAGAAGTACAACCCAAGACAAAAGAATTAAGAAGGAAGAAATATTATTAATGTACTTATGAACGACGGACTGTTATCACCCGATCCGTCGCGATGCTTTCACGGCCACTGATGGTTCACGTTTTGAGTATTAGGCTTTTGTTCCTGACTAGTGTATGGGTGAGGGATATGGAATGTGTTGAGTAGTCAGTGTTCGGAATTGATTCTTTGCGTCAAGCAGACACCTGATTTGTCGTGTGGTGGGGGGCAGTGTGCGTCATACATATCAGTTGATTCTTCTCTCACAGTGGTCGATTCGGGTTCGGCTGACATAGGTTGACGGGTTGACACGTTGTTGTAGTTGCGATGGTCATCAGTAGATGGCGATCACAGCTTGCTGCAGCTGTCGGCGATGGTGGTGCGCCGTCGGTAGGTAGCTGGCTCACGGCTCGCTCGTAGCGGGCCGTGTTGCACGATCGGTAGATGGCGCTCATCTGCTGGTCGCTGGCACGGCTGTGTCATTGTCGTGATGATTGCTGGTTGCGCGCTATCTGGCGCTGGGTGATACGTTTGTTGCGATGCTCCTTCTGATGGCAGATTCGCACCGTGTAGCCTGTCGCTAAACAGCGAATCTTGCCATTCTGGCGAGTTGTAGAAACTTCTTCTGCGTCGGTGGTGGTTGATCTTCTTCTGCAGGGATGAGTTGAGCTGGTCCGCTGGTCGCTGAGCATGTCTGCTAGCTGATGAGTTGAATTCAATGCTGTAGCGTCCTATTTTTATGCCAAAATCTCTCCCCTTGGCTCCTCCTTACAAGGCGGAGCTCCTTTTGATTTAGCTGTGTGTCGTGGTCTGGAGTGTGTGTGTGTCCGTATGTGTGTCAGTGTATGTGTCATTTACGGCATGGTTCTGTTGCCCTCCTCTTTCCATAAACCATCACAAAAAAAGCAGATGTTACAAATCGTCTCGAAGGCGTCTCTCTGTCTGCCTGTGCGAGAGGGAGGGGCGAGTTTCCCCCCTGTATGACCTTTTCCGACGCACAAAGGTTGGGTTAAGGTTTTTAAGTTAACATTTTATTCCATCATAGTTTGGTATCGTACCAATTTCAGTTTTGATTCTGTATGTGACTCAAGGTCTGTTGTGTTAGTTTCCATCGTGGTGTTCGATTTTATGTCAAGGGAAGGTGATCTCTTGAGTGTATGTATATTCTTACCACGTACTGCAGGAAGACAAAGACGGCCGGGAGGCTCTCTCCCTCTCTCTCTGGCTAGCCCTCGGTTTTAACGTTGCTCAAATATCGCTTGGTTTAATGTTTAACAAGGTTGTGTTTTACCCCATCATCCTGGCTCTTCCTCAGTTTTTATTAATTTTCGTAATGTGTGTATGCTTATCATTTATCATTTTATTTCTGATATAATGGTTAAGAGGTAAGTTTCTTGATTCTGGGAATTCGTATTCCATGGTGTATGCAAGGTTATATAAACGGAATACAGTTTCCGGTGAATAACGTTAACATTAATGTTCTATATGACACTTATGTATTGTAATTTATTTTAACTTAAAGATTGCTCGTCTGGGTTTTTTGCTGACGCACGCTCGTTGTTGTAAGTTTCCCCCCCCCCCGCCCCCTCTCTGCTTGCGCGGGGGTATGCCATTTGTCTGGCTGTGGTGGGGGGAAGTGTTGTTTACTGAATCCTAGCTCTCCCGTGAGCGTAGGTGGCCTGCGATAATTCCTTGGCCCTGGTTTACTTCTGCTCTCCCGCGCTGTGGGAAGACAAAGGCGGCTAGGGTCTCTTTCTCTCTCTCTAACCCTTGAGTTAACACTGCATTATTATTATTTGCTTATGTCCTGAGGTTAGAGAATTCGTTTTGACTTAGGAGAAATTCTGATTGACATACGCTTTGGTCAAGTTGTGTAAAAATTATTAAAGATTCATATTGAATTAATAAATGGGTAATGGTCCATTGATGTAGCTTGTGGCCTGGTTTTTAATTGGAGTGAGCGTGAGGATCGATAATTTTAGGTTATTCCTGTTGTTGGATTTTGAACTTTAATGTTACTTTAATAGCAATGAAGGGAAAAATGGTTTAACAGTTGGCTTGGCTATGTCTGCGGGCTGACGAAAGGGGCGAAATCTCGGCGACCCCGGGCGCTGCATTATGTCAATCCTGCTGTTTGCTTGCCCAGTGCTCGGTCTGTGCCCTCTGACCCTGGGCATGTTTGTGAACTGTCAAAATTATGTCAGCAGGTTATGGTAAATCGTCCCTTGGCAATCTGGCAAATCTCCGATAGCCAATAACCCTTCTGTGGCCCGGGAGTTTATTATTTATTTATATATTTATGGCCTTTTGACGATTTCCATCTGTGTTTGCTGCGCTTGCATGTTTTCATTCATTATTTCTCTTTTAAAAAATATCAGCAAATATTCTTGTTGATATTAATTGTGGAAAAAGGGCCATATACAACATTCCGCCCTTTTAAAAATGATCAGTGGTCAATTGGCCATGGGTTATTTTTAAAACAAAACAAAAATGCCTTTTTCCATC